TGGAGAGATGGCTTCACAGTTAAAAGCACCCAACACTCACATGGTGGCTAACAACAGTCAGTAAATCCAGTCCCCTGGGATCAGGGGCCTATTAAACCCATGTGGCACACTCACATGTATTTAGGCAAAATACTCATTCACACACACAAAAATTAATGTAAAATATACTTTGAAAGAGACTGTAATGAAACACTGAGCTAACCCTACTTCTTGCTGTTAGTCCAAATTTAAAGTATAGTAATACATATTTGCTGCTTACATTAAATATTCCTATGTTCCAACATATTTTAAAGAAAAAAAATTCATGTCTCAAACTATTCCACAGTAAGCAGTACACTTAGTATTTTCTATGTAGTGCCATCCAAACATAGTGCAAAACCACCTCTTAGCTCTGGAAACTGTTAACCTGATTATTGGGTTTGTGGATGGGTTCACTATGATGTTTATACTATACATGTGTATCACCGTACTTTGCTCATAGTCACCTCCCCATTACCTTCCTTTGCCCCCCTTTCCCTACGACAGTCCTACTTCCATTACATATGCATAATCTGTCAAATCTAGACTGTAAACCCGATTTGTAAAACAAGTTTAGTCTTATTACAATGTGCTCGCTACATACATGTTATGTGCTATGGTAATGTCAGTCCAACAAATCAATAAGCTTTTTTAAGGTGACTGAAACATTTTCCATTATTACAGTGTAACGCACAATACAATGTATATATTTTACTACTTTAAAAAGCCAAACTCTGGACAAATTCATATGTGGACTACCTGTTACAGGTGATGGTGAAAGTTCAACACAGTCATGTCTAAATCAGATACCTTAAGCGTGTCCAGTATACCCAGATCCTTAAACGTCTGGTATAGCTTTTTACGCAGTTTATCTTGATTCAACACCTCACAATTGGGGGACATGGCAGACTGGAAGAGAAAATGACTACAAGTTATAGGTGGCAGGGCAGAGGGGATGTGAATTTGACATTAACATCCCAGTGGGCCTCCCAGCAAGCCCTAAGGGAGAGAAACAACAGACTGCCTCTCTGCCCATCCCTGGGAAGTTGCAGGTAGAGCTATCTGAGCCTTTATCCACTATCTGCTTCCTTCGGAGCCGGACCTGCAGCGACCCAGCCCAGGCTACAGACTGAGAGGGTATCCCTGGCTTCGGAATCCTGCCTGTCTCGGGGACTCCTGTAAGCACCGGCACAACCTTCCTCTGCAGTCCAAAACGGTGAGCGGGCGGAGATCCAGGAGGGGCTCTGAACCGGAGTAGGAAGACCTAGATTAGAAGAGGGGGGACCAGAGGGAGTCACTCGGTACACACAGTTTTCCGCGCTGCACAGCCCACTCCACCGCTCCCGGAAGCAGGCCAAACGGAACGGAACGTCCACCCGCGTGGACAGTCTCGCAGCCGGGGTGCACCTTACGTCCACCCCCGTGGACAGTCTCGCAGCCGGGGTGCACCTTACGTCCACCCGCGTGGACAGTCTCGCAGCCGGGGTGCACCTTACGTCCACCCGCGTGGACAGTCTCGCAGCCGGGGTGCAGCTTTCCAGTCCGAGTAAGGGACACCCAGGGCTGCATACAGCGCCGGGGCAGGCTCTTCCGGCGGCAGTGAAACCTCCCTTTTGCTTTTCCGGAAGAGGCTCCGACGGTTTTGGTTTTCCGAGCCCTAGCGCTGCCGGCCTTCACAGCACTGGTGGGTTCCAACCGGGGTGTGTGCCGCGATCGCCGGCTTTCCACGCAGTTTTAGACGCTCTCCGTGTCTGAAAAATGACGTGCAAAACAGAAACTGCAACTGGAGTTGTCTAGCGAAGTGCCTCTCCTGGCGGCCCAGCTCTGCTCCCGGACCCCGCCTGTCGCGGTGGTGTTGACAAGATCCTCTCCCCGGGGCAGGCCCGACCCGGATCCCACAGTTCGGGTCCGCAGCTTGGCTCCCACCAGAGCCAGAGCTGAGCTGGAGAGGCCCCGCCCGAAGTGCGGACAGGGAGGGGGAGGGGGTGAGGTCTGCTGGGCGGCCCGACCAATGGCCCAGGCACAGGGCCAGCCCCTTGAGTGACAGCCACGCCCGCGGGGGCGGGGGATGTCTGTGTGCCGGCGAGCCACTGCAGTGTGAGAGGCCTGTGGCCCGGGTCTCGCCCGCGGGCCTCATAGCCCTGAACGACCCTGTGCTAGTGTATCTGTATGTGGACGCTCGGCCACTAAACTTCCTCCACTGTCCGGGAGAGCGAGTGAGCTGGGGGGGCGGGGGGAGCCTAGAAGGAGCCAAGCGCCTAGGACCCAATCTTCACTGAGCCAGGGAGAGGGAGCTGATCATCTGGGAAGTGATCGTTGAGGGAGCCTCCCAGGAAGAGTTGATCATCAGGGAACTAACCAATCCAGTGAGGGAGCTTAGGAGCCTGAGAGGAGTTGTGCGGAAGCTGATCCACAGGGAGTCTAGGACAGGGACCGAGTTTTGAAGGAGCCTAGGACCTGGAGCCCAGCGCTAGGCAACCAATCATCAGGGAGCCTTGGAGGTGGAGCCAAGCTGTGAGGGAGCCTATAATCAGGGAACCCAGCAGAGGGAGCTGATCCTCAGGGAACTAACTGATCTGCGGAGGGAGCTTCAAGGACAGAGTCAAGTTGTGAGGAAGCTGATCCACAGGGAACCTAGGACAGGGACCCGAGTTGTGAGGGAGTCTAGGACCTGGAGCCAAGGTCTAGGCAACAGATCCTCAGGGAGCCTCGGACTGGGAACCTAGCGTTGGGAACCAACCCTCAGAACCATGGAGAGGGAGCCCAGCTTTGAGGGAGCCTATAGTCAGGGAGCCTAGCAGAGGGAGCTGATCATCTGGGAACTAAATGATCCAGTGAGGGAGCCTAGTAATGGGAGCCCAGCGCTAGGGAATCGATCTTCAGGAGCCTTGGGGAGGGAACCCAGCTGTGAGGGAGCCTATAGTCAGGGAGCCTAGGAGAGGGAGCTGATCCTCAGGGAACTATCTGATCCAGGGAGGGATCCTAGGAGACAGAGTCCTTGGGGAGGGAACCCAGCTGTGAGGGAGCCTATAGTCAGGGAGCCTAGGAGAGGGAGCTGATCCTCAGGGAACTATCTGATCCAGGGAGGGATCCTAGGAGACAGAGTCAAGTTGTGAGGCAGCTGATCCACAGGGAGCCTAGGACAGGGACCCGAGTTTTGAGGGAGCCAAGGACCCTGAGCTGAGCGCTAGGCAATGGATTGTCAGGGAGCCTTGGAGAGGGAGCCTATAATCAGGGAGCCTAGCAGAGGGAGCTGATCCTCAGGGAACTAACTGATCTGTGGAGGGAGCTTCGAGGACAGAGTCAAGTTGTGAGGAAGCTGATCCATAGGGAGCCTTGGACAGGGACCCAAGGTTGTGAGGGAGCCTAGGACCCTGAGCCAAGTGCTAGGCAACCAATTTTCAGGGAGCCTTGGAGGTTGAGCCAAGCTGTGAGGGAGCCTATAGTCAGGGAGCCTAGCAGAGGGACCTGCTAGTCAGGGAACCAACTGATCAGGTGATGGAGCCTAGGACATGTCATCAGGGAGCCTTGGATAGGGAGCCAAGCTGTGAGGGAGCCAGTAGTCAGGGAGCCTATCAGAGGAAGCTACTGATCCACTGAGGGGAGCATAGGACCTGGAGTCTAGAGCTAGAGAACCTATCCTCAGGGTGCCTCATACAGGGAGCCCAGCTTTGAGGGAGCCAATAGTCAGAGAGCCTAGCAGAGGGAGCTGATCCTCAGGGAACTGATAGGGTGAGGGAGCCTAGGACCAGGAGCACAGTGCTAGGGAACCAATCATCAGAGAGCCTAGGAGAGGGAGCCCATAGTAAGGGAGCCTAGGAGAGGGAGCTGATCTTCAGGGAACTAACAAATAGGTGGGGGAGCTTAGGAGACAGAGTCAAGTTGTGAGGAACCTGACAACAGGGAGCCTAGGACAGGGACCCGAGTTTCTAGGGAGCCTAGGACCCTGAACTGAGCACTAGGCAATGGATTGTCAGGGAGCTTTGGAGATGGAGCTTAGCTGTGAGGGAGCTGATAATCAGGGAGCCTAGCAGAGGGAGCTGATCTTCAGGGAACTAACTGATAATGTGAAGGAGCCTAGGACTGGGAGCCTAGCACAAGGAAAATGATCCTCAGGGAGCCTTGGAAAGGGAATCGAGCTGTGAGTGAGCGAATAGTCAGGGAGCCTATCAGAGGGAGCAGATCATCATGGAACTAACTGATCCTGTGAGGGAGCCTATGACATGGAGCCTAGCACTAGGGAACCCATCCTCAGGGAGCCTTGTAGAGGGAGCCTAGTTGTGAGGGAGCTGATAGTCAGGGATCCAAGGAGAGGGGGCTGATCTTCAGGAAACGAACTGATACGGTGAAGGAGCATAGGAGACAGAGTCAAGCAGTGAGGAAGCTGATCCACAGAGAGCCTAGGACAGGGACCAAGTTTTGAAGGAGCCTAGGACCCAGAGCCCAGCGCTAGGCAACCAATCATCAAGGAGCCTTATAGGTGGAGCCAAGCTGTGAGGGAGCCCATATTCAGGGAGCCCAGGAGAGGGAGCTGATCCTCAGGGAACTAACGGATAGGGTGAGGGAGCCTAGTGCTAGGGAACAAATCCTCAGGACCATGGAGAGGGAGCCCAGCTGTGAGGGGGCAGATAGTCCAGGAGCCTAGGAGAGGGAGCTGATCATTAGGGAACTAACAGATTGGGTGAGGGAGCCTAGAATTCGGAGCCTAGTGCTAGGAAACCAATAGTTAGGGAACCTTAGAGAGGGAGCCTAGCTGTGAAGGAGCCTATAGTCAGGGAGGCAAGGAGAGGGAGTTGCTCACCAGGGAACTAACTGATAGGGTGAGGGAGCCTAGGACTGGGGGCCGAGTGCTAGGGAACAGATCCTCAGGGAGCCTTGGAGAGGGAGCCAAGCTGTGAGTGAGCCAATAGTCAGGGAGCCCAGGAGAGAGAGCTCATCCTCAGGGAACTAACTGATCCGGTGAGGGAGCCCAGGATCAGGAGCCAAGCGCTGGAAACCTATCATCAGGTAGCCTTGGAGAGGGAGCCTAGCTGTGAGGGTGCCAATAGTCATGGAGCCTAGCAGAGGGAGCTGATCCTCAGGGAACTGATAGGGTGAGGGAGCCTAGGACTCAGAGCCCAGCTCTAGGGAACCAACTGTCAGGGAGCCTTGGAGAGGGAGCTGAGCTGTGAAGGAGCCAATAGTCAGGGAGCCCAGGAGAGGGAGCTGATCATTGGAGAACTAACAGATTGGGTGAGAGAGCCTAGGACCCAGAGCCCAGCTCTAGGCAACAGATCCAGATAGTCAGGGAGCCTTTGACAGGGAGCCTAGGTGTGAGGAAGCCTATAATCAGGAAGCCTAGCAGAGGGAGCTGATCATTTGGAAACTAACTGATCCAGTGAGGGAGCTTCGAAGACAGAGTCAAGTTGTGAGGAAGCTGATCCACAGGGAGCCTAGGACAGGGACCCCAGTCCTGAGGGAGCCTAGGACCAGGAGCCCAGCATTAGGCAATCTATTGTCAGGGAGCCTTGGAGAGGGAGCCTAGCTGTGAGGGAGCTGATAATCAGGGAGCATAACAGAGGGAGCTGATCCTCAGGGAACTGATAGGGTGAGGAAGCCTAGGACTGGGAGCCAAGCCCTAGGAGACCGATCCTCAGGGAGTCTTGGAGAGGTAGCTGAGCTGTGAGTGAGCTGATAGTCACGCAGCCCAGGAGAGGGAGCTGATCCTCAGGGAATTGATAGGGTCAGGGAGCCTAGGACTTAGAGTCCAGCACCAGGGAACCAATCATCAAGGAGCTTTGGAGAGGGAGCAGAGCTGTGAGGGAGTAGATAGTCCAGGAGCCTAGGAGAGGGAGCTAATCATTGAGGAACTAACTGATCTGGTGAGGGAGTTTAGGAGACAGAGTCAAGCTATGAGGAATCTGATCAACAGGAAGCCTAGGACAGGGACCCGAGTTTCTAGGGAGCCTAGGACCCTGAGCTGAGAGCTAGGCAATGGATTGTAAGGGAGCCTTGGAGAGGGAGCCTAGCTGTGAGGGAGCCAATAACCAGGGAGCCTAGCAGAGGGAGCTGATCTTCAGGGAACTGATAATGTGAAGGAGCCTAGGACTGGGAGCCTAGCACAAGGAAAATGATCCTCAGGGAGCCTTGGAAAGGGAATCGAGCTGTGAGTGAGCGAATAGTCAGGGAGCCTATCAGAGGGAGCAGATCATCATGGAATTAACTGATCCTGTGAGGGAGCCTATGACATGGAGCCTAGCACTAGGGAACCCATCCTCAGGGAGCCTTGTAGAGGGAGCCTAGTTGTGAGGGAGCTGATAGTCAGGGATCCAAGGAGAGGGGGCTGATCTTCAGGAAACGAACTGATACGGTGAAGGAGCATAGGAGACAGAGTCAA